AAGGTAAAACAAAAAGGGCTTTACAACTTTTTGACATTTCTTTTGTGAAATGACAAGTAACTGTAAAATATCAATGGTAAAAAAAAAAAAACAGAATTAATTTATTATCAAACTCATCAAAATGACTCTAACTTGGGTGGGACTATTGAGCCTAAATATCAGATAAAATAATGTATTAACACACCCACGCTAGAATTGCATAACTTGTGTATTTGTGGAAGCCAGCCCCTGTCAGACCTCTGAAGCTAGGCAGGGCAGGGCCTGGTTAGTGCTGTGATGGGAGGCCTCTGGGAACAGCGGGTACCACAGTGGGGCGGCTGCGGCTGTAAAGTGCCAAACTGCTGTTGTGTCCTTAGGCAAGACACTTCACCCACATTAGAGTGAGTAAAAAAACAATTTATTATTATTATCATCATGTTGTAGTGGGATAAATCTGTAAAAATATGACCAAAGACAATGAAATATAAAGATTATCCTCCTTAAAAAGATAACCTGATTGTCCTTACTGTGATGCTAAAACTCCCCCGTCCCCAGTTTGACTCCTGGTTTTCACTTCTGTCTCTCTCTGGCTCTGCTCCTGTTCTTTTCACTTTCATAAATAATGAGTGAGCGTTGTGCGAGCAGGAGCAGCGATACAATTAAAACACAGAGCTTGAGTCGTAGGATTGTTCTAAGCCGCAAACATAGCCTCACATGGATTTGGGTAATTGGATAAAAAAAATCAAAAAAACATGTTGAATAAAGTCAGCTTGACTTTCTGGCTGGATCTTTCTCTTGTTTATCTTTTTTATTAACAGTGTTTTCATTCATTCATCCCATTCCCTCTCCTCGTTGCACACCAGGTTTTCTTGCTGTGCAGAGAATCCAAATACGCCCAACCAGGGTTATTAAAGTTGTGAAACAAATTTGCAAAATGGAACAAATCATGGAAAAACACTTCTTGCTTGGCGTCCGACCAAATAGTGTGAATGGAGTATTATCTTGTGCTCGTCCTCACAGCTGTTGACGACGAGAAACAGAAAAGATATGAATATTTAGAGATGCACCAGTCCAGACCGATTCTCATGACTGACTCTGATACTTCAGCTTTCAAGTCCACCCGACCCCGTCTGAACCGATGTCAGGGAAGAGACTGAAAATACAGCATTTCTTTACCCTCAAATCACAATGAACAGGTGTTTTTACCCCAAGAAATGATTAATGTATAAAACTATGGCCTTCATTAAACAGTCAAGTCAGGATTATCAAACTGGAAAGTCCAAAGTGTCTCTGAAACAGTTGCTTTGTGTTTTACAATTGTTCATTTTCTTGCTTTTTTCTGCCTGAGATGTTGCTGCAGTTCAGTGTTCATGGTTTTACACTGGTCCAGACCAGAGCAGAGAGGATTCATGGTTTTACACTGGTCCAGACCAGAGCAGAGAGGATTCATGGTTTTACACTGGTCCAGACCAGAGCAGAGAGGATTCATGGTTTTACACTGGTCCAGACCAGAGCAGAGAGGATTCATGGTTTTACACTGGTCCAGACCAGAGCAGAGAGGATTCATGGTTTTACACTGGTCCAGACCAGAGCAGAGAGGATTCATGGTTTTACACTGGTCCAGACCAGAGCAGAGAGGATTCATGGTTTTACACTGGTCCAGACCAGAGCAGAGAGGATTCATGGTTTTACACTGGTCCAGACCAGAGCAGAGAGGATTCATGGTTTTACACTGGTCCAGACCAGAGCAGAGAGGATTCATGGTTTTACACTGGTCCAGACCAGAGCAGGGAGGATTCATGGTTTTACACTGGTCCAGACCAGAGCAGGGAGGGTTCATGGTTTTACACTGGTCCAGACCAGAGCAGAGAGGATTCATGGTCCGAACCAAGTGGATCAGGCAAAAATCCACTGGAGGAATGTTAACTTTTTGATAAAGGCTAAAAATCATTTATCATTTTACTTTGGACCAGAGCAGAGAAAATGGTCTGAACCTCCACCTCTGCTGAAGGACTGCTGCTTATTTTTTTACTATTGTTTGCTACTTTTAGAATTGTCTATTTATTTGTTTTGTTATTACCAATCAATTGATCTGCTTTTCTATCTAGTGCATAAAACAGATTGGACTTGAATTTCCCTAAAATACAATTTAACAACATGTATACATTTTTTCACAAAGCTTATCCGCATAGTTTGACCATAACATTAGATCTATCATTTTTTCTCGTGATTGATGACATCACACTAGAGACGTTACCATGGAGCCAAACTAAGCCAAACCGGCTATGTACAATTATATACTCTATTATTATATTATATTGTACTTTGACAAATTCAATTATAAGAATACCTGTTTATTTAGCAATTATTATATACGTCATAAAAACTTTACCCAAACGTGAGGTCATCACTTCGAGAACGCAGCTCTACTTCCTGTATATGTATAATTGCGTGTTTTTTCCCCCACTTTTTTTCAGAATTGGGGACTTTAGGGGATATTTATTCATATTTTAATCAGATGCCATTCCATAACTGGTCATACACTTTAATTGATAACTGAAAAAAACCCAAAACAGTCCCAATCCAATATTGGCATTTACATCCAACACATATCCAATTTTATTTTCGATTCTATTCTATTCCTATTTTTTTTTTTTTTTTTTTATTATTAATTTATTTTAGGCAATGGCAAAAGTGAGAAAACGAGGTAATTAAAAGCAATTAAGTAATATAAATAATATAAAGCAAAAAACAAAACAGACAAACACAATAAAAAAACAAAAAAACAGTGTAAACAAAAAATGTATAAACAAAAATCTATGGTTTAACATGGCCACATATTTCTGCCTGAAAAGGAGTGGGTAGAATTGCAGAATCTCTTGTTGTGTTCAGTTTTGTTGAGCCACTATGCACTATTAGTTGTGGCACAGTTTAGATTCCAAAAGCACATGTGACATCAGCAAACACGATCTGCTGATATATAACTGCGATTTCTCTTAACCCTGTATGTTGTTTTTTCTGAGAAACAAGTGTTGTTCCTGCTCTGCTGTCACTCCTCTTAATGAGTATCCAACACTGAAGCCGTATCATGCTCGAGGCAAAAACAACCCAAATCCATAAAGTCCAGATAGTGAAGAGGAAGCAGATGGGGATCATAACAAATGGGCAATAAAATCCCACGATGCTGGTGAAGAATATGCTGTGCTATTGTAGATAATATCGTAATTTAAGTGTGTTGTGTCCTTACAAAGCCTGGATTACAATAGACCTGGATTCCATTCTTTTATGATTTACGTTTATGATTCTGTTTATTCAACGGGCGACACGGTGGCTGAGTGGATAGCACTCTCGCCTCTCAGCAAGAAGGTCCTGGGTTCAAATCCCGGTTGGACCAGGGCCTTTCTGAGTGGAGTTTGCATGTTCTCCCCGTGTCTGCGTAGGTTTCCTCCGGGTGCTCCGGTTTCCCCTACCACTAAAAATATGTACAATAGGTCTGGCATGTGCCTCCTGTACTGGCCCCTCCCACTCCCAAAAAATAACAATTGTAAACTGCTTTGAGACTCCAATGTGCAGTGAAAAGGCGGTATATAAATAAAGATAAAGATTACTTACTACTACTCAACACTGAAATCCCCACACACTTCTGGAAATTGGATAAAAGATTATAATAGTGTATAGTCCAAAATATATGATGTAATTTAGAAATACATTCATATCCAGTGCTGAGAGGTGTGTTATTCAAGTAAGGTGCAAACTCGAGTTGTGTTTGTGACTTGTGGAGTAGAACCATAGACGGTAAATATTAACGGACGTAGGCCTTTGTCTGCTGTCCAAGTGCCGCCACTTTTGCCTTCTGTGGCTTTTTCAAAATGGCCGCTGGGCAGGAAAACGTGAAGAAACTTTTAATGTTTACGGTCTATGGAAAAACCACATTTGAGCATGCGTCAGCTGCACTAGCCCCAGTCATTTAACGAGTGCATACAAAAGTCCACAGCGGCTAAACTAGCCTGGTCCAAAAATAAAAAATAAAAATAACTCCCCTCAGCATCAAAAGCATTTGGACCAAGAGTCACTTTTGACCAAGAGCCACTTTTGGACCAAGACCCACTTTTGGACCAAGAGCCACTTTTGGACCATCCTGTAAAGACGTTTTGGAGAGGAAAGACAGCGGCATACAAAAGAATTGGATAATTATCTTTCCGGGTACAACTATGGCTAACAGAAAGCATGTTAGCCATAGACTGTAATTATTAACAGACGTAGTCACGCCTAAATAAATATATATACATAAATATATATAAACATAATACAAACAAAATAGGTGCCTCAAAATACAAATAACGATCATTATATACAAATACAAAAAGGACAAACTAAAAAATAAAACAAAAACCAGGGCACACATTTAGATGTTTGTTGTCATCTGTAAATGTAAAGGGCATGTATCAATAAATGATGAAAGTTTAGTAGCATTCTTAGATTCTATGAGATTGAGTAAAGTATAAAATAGTTTGAACTCTTTCCTCCAATGAGTGTAGTTCAGGATGACCGTGTGTCACCATCATGGATCTATTATAATAACAAGGGTCACCTGTGGATCTATAATAATAACAACCACTTTCACCTTCTGTGGACTTTTTCAAAATGGCGTCTATGTCACGTGACACGTAGCCCAACAGTGTAAACAAAGTCCTTGGCTCTCTGCACGTGGAAGCTGAAATGTCAACAATCGTGAAGAGGCTCTGATGGAGTTTTACAAACGCAGAGTAAAGATGCAGGAGATGAATATGAAGAGTCTGTGCGGAGACAAGAGCGGGATGGATTTAAGCTAAAACCAGAGGACCAGAGGAGCCAGGACCAAGACAGTTCCCTTTGGACCTGAGCTTACACAGCTGCGGGGTCGGAGCTAGGCTAATGCTAATGCTAATGCTAATGCTAACGCCCCACCACAGCATCGCATTCTGTCCACAGACCTGTCCACAGTCCTGTCCACAGTCCTGTCCACAGACCTGTCCACAGACATGTCCACAGACCTGTCCACAGACATGTCCACAGACCTGTCCACAGTTCTGTCCACAGACCTGTCCACAGTCCTGTCCACAGACCTGTCCACAGTCCTGTCCACAGTCCTGTCCACAGTCCTGTCCACAGACCTGTCCACAGACCTGTCCACAGTCCTGTCCACAGACATGTCCACAGTCCTGTCCACAGACCTGTCCACAGTCCTGTCCACAGACCTGTCCACAGTCCTGTCCACAGACCTGTCCACAGTCCTGTCCACAGTCCTGTCCACAGACATGTCCACAGACCTGTCCACAGTTCTGTCCACAGACCTGTCCACAGACCTGTCCACAGACCTGTCCACAGTCCTGTCCACAGTCCTGTCCACAGACCTGTCCACAGTCCTGTCCACAGACCTGTCCACAGACCTGTCCACAGTCCTGTCCACAGACCTGTCCACAGTCCTGTCCACAGACATGTCCACAGACCTGTCCACAGTCCTGTCCACAGTCCTGTCCACAGACCTGTCCACAGTCCTGTCCACAGACCTGTCCACAGTCCTGTCCACAGTCCTGTCCACAGTCCTGTCCACAGTCCTGTCCACAGACATGTCCACAGACCTGTCCACAGTTCTGTCCACAGACCTGTCCACAGACCTGTCCACAGACCTGTCCACAGTCCTGTCCACAGTCCTGTCCACAGACCTGTCCACAGTCCTGTCCACAGTCCTGTCCACAGACCTGTCCACAGTCCTGTCCACAGTCCTGTCCACAGACCTGTCCACAGTCCTGTCCACAGACCTGTCCACAGACCTGTCCACAGTCCTGTCCCACAGTCCTGTCCACAGTCCTGTCCACAGTCCTGTCCACAGACATGTCCACAGACCTGTCCACAGACATGTCCACAGACCTGTCCACAGACCTGTCCACAGACATGTCCACAGACCTGTCCACAGACCTGTCCACAGTCCTGTCCACAGACATGTCCACAGACCTGTCCACAGTCCTGTCCACAGTCCTGTCCACAGACCTGTCCACAGACCTGTCCACAGACCTGTCCACAGACATGTCCACAGACCTGTCCACAGTCCTGTCCACAGTCCTGTCCACAGACATGTCCACAGACCTGTCCACAGTCCTGTCCACAGACCTGACCACAGTTCTGTCCACAGACCTGTCCACAGTCCTGTCCACAGTCCTGTCCACAGACATGTCCACAGACCTGTCCACAGTCCTGTCCACAGTCCTGTCCACAGACATGTCCACAGACCTGTCCACAGTTCTGTCCACAGACCTGTCCACAGTCCTGTCCACAGACCTGTCCACAGTCCTGTCCACAGTCCTGTCCACAGTCCTGTCCACAGTCCTGTCCACAGACCTGTCCACAGACCTGTCCACAGTCCTGTCCACAGTCCTGTCCACAGACCTGTCCACAGTCCTGTCCACAGTCCTGTCCACAGTCCTGTCCACAGACCTGTCCACAGACCTGTCCACAGTCCTGTCCACAGTCCTGTCCACAGACCTGTCCACAGTCCTGTCCACAGTCCTGTCCACAGACCTGTCCACAGTCCTGTCCACAGTCCTGTCCACAGACCTGTCCACAGACCTGTCCACAGTCCTGTCCACAGACCTGTCCACAGACATGTCCACAGACCTGTCCACAGACCTGTCCACAGACCTGTCCACAGACCTGTCCACAGACCTGACCACAGACCTGACCACAGACCTGTCCACAGACCTGTCCACAGACCTGTCCACAGACCTGTCCACAGACCTGTCCACAGACCTGTCCACAGACCTGTCCACAGACCTGTCCACAGTCCTGTCCACAGTCCTGTCCACAGACATGTCCACAGACCTGTCCACAGTTCTGTCCACAGACCTGTCCACAGTCCTGTCCACAGACCTGTCCACAGTCCTGTCCACAGTCCTGTCCACAGTCCTGTCCACAGTCCTGTCCACAGACATGTCCACAGACCTGTCCACAGTTCTGTCCACAGACCTGTCCACAGACCTGTCCACAGTCCTGTCCACAGTCCTGTCCACAGACCTGTCCACAGTCCTGTCCACAGTCCTGTCCACAGACCTGTCCACAGTCCTGTCCACAGTCCTGTCCACAGACCTGTCCACAGTCCTGTCCACAGACCTGTCCACAGACCTGTCCCACAGTCCTGTCCACAGTCCTGTCCACAGTCCTGTCCACAGACATGTCCACAGACCTGTCCACAGACATGTCCACAGACCTGTCCACAGACCTGTCCACAGACATGTCCACAGACCTGTCCACAGACCTGTCCACAGTCCTGTCCACAGACATGTCCACAGACCTGTCCACAGTCCTGTCCACAGTCCTGTCCACAGACCTGTCCACAGTCCTGTCCACAGTCCTGTCCACAGACATGTCCACAGACCTGTCCACAGTCCTGTCCACAGTCCTGTCCACAGTCCTGTCCACAGACATGTCCACAGACCTGTCCACAGTCCTGTCCACAGTCCTGTCCACAGACCTGTCCACAGTTCTGTCCACAGACCTGTCCACAGTCCTGTCCACAGTCCTGTCCACAGTCCTGTCCACAGACCTGTCCACAGTCCTGTCCACAGTCCTGTCCACAGACATGTCCACAGACCTGTCCACAGTCCTGTCCACAGTCCTGTCCACAGACATGTCCACAGACCTGTCCACAGTTCTGTCCACAGACCTGTCCACAGTCCTGTCCACAGACCTGTCCACAGTCCTGTCCACAGTCCTGTCCACAGTCCTGTCCACAGTCCTGTCCACAGACCTGTCCACAGACCTGTCCACAGTCCTGTCCACAGTCCTGTCCACAGACCTGTCCCACAGTCCTGTCCACAGTCCTGTCCACAGTCCTGTCCACAGACCTGTCCACAGACCTGTCCACAGTCCTGTCCACAGTCCTGTCCACAGACCTGTCCACAGTCCTGTCCACAGTCCTGTCCACAGACCTGTCCACAGTCCTGTCCACAGTCCTGTCCACAGACCTGTCCACAGACCTGTCCACAGACCTGTCCACAGACCTGTCCACAGACCTGTCCACAGTCCTGCCCACAGTCCTGTCCACAGACCTGTCCACAGACCTGTCCACAGTCCTGCCTCATCACCAGGTAAGAAAACATTTCAACTTTTGGCGATTATTATGTGGATTATTTTGTGTGTTTTGCATATTTGATGGTGTTCCCCTGGAAAAGTTTTTGTAAATATTGTGGACATAGTAGTTGGACAAATTCTCAGAACCGGGTCAGAACATCCCGAACGCTTGTTGTGATTCTGTCTCGTTTTGTAATGCTGTCACTGTGAAGAAAGTGACGTCATACTGTGCACGTGGGCGTCATGCTGCAGCAATGTGCCTCTTGTTGTTGTTGTTGTTGTTATTTGTTTGTTTGTTTGTTGGGGGGTCCATGCACTAAAAAATGTTGGAGATCGCTGTGGTCCAGGTATGGCCTTTCGCCTTTGGTCTTTGGGAGTGATGCCTTCTGTCTGAAAACATGATTACATTTAAAAGAAAGTTAATCATAAAATATTTATTGAAGAAATATACAGAATGCGGAGCAAGTTGTGGGAGAGTGTGTGTGTGTGTGTTTTGTGATGTCTGGCTATTATAATCGGTGGTGGTAGTATTGTGTTAGTGTTATAATATACAGTGGTAATGGCATGATATTGGTAAAATCGTTTTTGTCTGATGGGGGTACACGTTTTAGTCTGTTATAGTGATATATGTAAAAATAAGTAGGTTTTAAATAAATAAGTAAAACAATAACAAAATCATAGCAGAAGAAATACTAACGTCCTTCCTTCTTTCATTGGCATTATGTTGAGAACAAGCCTGAGGAGCGTGTTCGCCCTGTTACCTACTATTGTCCTATTTTTTGGGCTAATTATAAGTTTAACTGATACTTTTATTATTGCTGTATCTATTTATCTTGGTGTGGGAGGGGTTTGTTAAGGTGCACTGCCTTAAATGTCCAGTTGAGGGCGCACCTCGGAGTTTGCCTGGGTTAATAAGCAAACAGTTCTTGAATGCACTACTGCATTTGGATTTGACATGTCATACATATTTGCTTTTTGTTGATTCTTTCAATGGATACATATTTTGGACAATTGTGGGGCCTGTGGGACTGTTAAATTCATTCAATCGCCTTAATCATATCTGTAAGTTTTGGACATTTATCATTGAACATTGTTAGAGCTATTTGTCTATTTTTTTATTCTAATTATGATCTACTTTATTTAGTTTTTTTGTTTAGTTTGCAAAGATAATTTTGGGTTAATTATTGCTTTTTTAAATTTAAGTTGGTCACGAGGATAAATAGGGTTATGGGGGGAGGGGTCATAGAGGCGTTTTGGGCATATGGTTTTTTTTACCAGCGAGAGGAGAGACTGCAGTTCTGCATGTTTGCCATTTGCTTGGAGAATAAACCCACCTAAAATGCAATATTGTTTGGACATTATGTTTTCTCTATCCTGCGTAAAGCCAACCTGAAAACGCCTTAGTGGCCTTTTGATTTGTTTTGGTTTAAGTTTGGACATGGTTTAAGTTATGGGCAAATCGCCACTACAAACATCAATTAAGGCCAGGCGGGCAAAGGGAATACTGTGGTTTTTTGGTCACTACAGAGCGGTAAGAACAAAGGAATCCAGGGCCTTTTCTCCATCTCTTCGTAGTTGTGCAGACTTGTATAATTGTGGAGTTATGAAATGCCATCCCATGTGAGGCCCTGTGAGGAAACTCCGATTGAGAGTTTGCGTCTTGGAAGGTTCACAGGAAATGTCCGCGTTCAAGTTGCTCCACATATTTCAGCAGTGATGCATCAGAGGAGAGAATGGCGACAGTGGCATTGGAGGTTCGAATACTGGAGCCAGCCCCATCCGTGTCTGGGTGGGTTTCCTCTGGGCACTCCGGTTTCCATACATCCACCCCAAACTTGCACCATATAAACTCCTTCAGTGTTGTTGATTCTGAACAAGCCGAGCATTGAAAAACTATACCTTAACCTTAATCCAACCATGTCTGCAACGATTATTATTTTTGTATCATTATTTTTTCAACCTGCCCTGTGTTGCCGTGAGGCCAGACTCGATGGCCGCCTCCGGGACTTACACTATAGCCTGAACATATCCCTCACACAGCCTCAGGGAAAACCAACACAAATGTGAATGGTTGCACTCTCATTAATAAACGATACACAAAAATAGCATCAATCATTAAATGAGAGGTGGATGAGCAGTGACTTTCTCCTCCTCTCTCCTCCTCCTCTCTTTACCTCCTCGTCCACTCCATAATGACCCAGAAGGTATATACTGTATTCTGTAGCTTCTCTCAGTCCCTGTTTGTCTTGGCACGCTCGCCCCGACCTTCCAACCATACAGTGGGGCAAAAAAGTATTTAGTCAGCCTAGGGCTGGGCAATAAATCGAATTCAGGCAATTAATCGTCTTTTAAAAAAATAGAATTTGTGAAAAATGTGAAAATCGTGAAATTGAATGAAGGATATTGTGAGAGTTCCAGCAGCACATTAATGGTACTTAAAACATCAGCGGAGTCTGTAATAGATTTTTATAATATGTATTGGGGGAAACAAATTAAAAATAGTTTTGAAACTTGAATATTTTTAACGGCAAAGTCTGTCTTCTTGACTTTAATGAAAATCAATTTAAAATCGAAATCGTCCAAAGCGGGATATAAAAATCGAGATTTTACTTTTTTGCCATATCGCCCAGCCCTGAGTCAGCCTCCGATTGTGGAAGTTGAGAACTGTGAGAGACAGAATGTGAAAAAAATCCAGGAATTCACATTGTAGGATTTTTAAAGAATTTATTTGTAAATTATGGTTGAAAATAAGTATTTGGTCACTTCAAACAAGGAAGATCTCTGGCTCTCACAGACCTGTAACTTCTTCTTTAAGAAGCTCTTCTGTCCTCCACTCGTTACCTGTATTAATGGCACCTGTTTGAACTCATCTGTATAAAAGACACCTGTCCACAGCCTCAAACAGTCAGACTTCAAACTCCACTATGGCCAAGACCAAAGAGCTGTCGAAGGTAGGGATGTAAAAAACTATGCATTTTCATGACCGACCACCGAGCCTCATTAACCGGTTGAAACCGGTTAACAGCGTAGTTCAAAATATTCCACGTTCTTTGAAATAGCAGCCATTTCGAGCCGCGTACTTTTCATAAGTTTATCTATGCGTTCTACTAGATCAGAGCTGAGACAGCGGCGCCAAAACCCGCAACAGCTTCGGCACCTTTGCGCACAGAGAACTGCTTTTTTAATCTTCCCATTCTGTGCTGCGGGTTAAAGCATTTTTAAGCAAAAGACGGCTTGTTCACATGGTCAGAGCAGCGAGTTACACCCCGCGTCTCGCAGGTCTCCGCTAAAGTTTAAAAGTGATGTGTGTGGATCTGATCTAATGACAAGGACCAGCAGCACAAACATGTTTCATGTGTTTGACTGAAACCGCGTATTTGCGAGGATTCGTTGGGCTGCGAGACACAGAGGTGCGCGACAGACCGGTGTGTGTGTGTGTGTACAATACATGTATGTGTGTATGTGTAAATATAAGCTTCAGTGTAGTTCTGACCTGCACTAGTGTGGAACTTTGGCGGTAACAGAGGGGAGAGATGATGCGTGTGGATGTTACGTATGGAGGGGGGGGGAGTGTGTGTGTGTATGTGTGTGTGTATATGTGTGTGTATGTGTAAATATAAGCTCCAGTGTAGTTCTGACCTGCACTAGTGTGGAACTTTGGCGGTAACAGAGGGGAGAGATGATGCGTGTGGATGTTACGTATGGAGGGGGGGAAAGTGTTTGTGTGTGTGTGTGTGTGTGTGTGTGTGTGTGTGTGCGCGCGCGTGTGCGTGGCTGCGTGCATATGTGGAGCGTGCGCCATGAAAGTCGCCCGTAGTCTACTAATGCATTGGCGCACACAGCTAGATACGGACCCGCTCGTCACATCGTACAAATAGGGCTTGTTAATAGCCTTATTAAGAGACCTCCCCTCTCCGCTTTTTCTTATTTTTAACCGACAGCTTTGACCGGTTAACGCTGTGACGGTCAACCACCGGTTAAACGGTCACCGATTTACATCCCTAGTCGAAGGACACCAGGAAAATAATTGTAGACCTGCACCAGACTGGGAAGAGTGGATCTACAATAGGCAAGCAGCTTGGTGTGAACAAATCAACTGTGGGAGCAATTATCAGAAAATGGAAGACATACAAGACCACTGATAATCTCCCTTGATCTGGGGCTCCACGCAAGATCTCATCCCGTGGGGTCAAAATGGTCATTAGAACGGTGATCAAATATCCCAGAACCACACGGGGGGACCTGGTGAATGACCTGCAGAGAGCTGGGACCAAAGTAACAAAGGTTACCATCAGTAACGCACTACGACGACAGGGAATCAAATCCTGCAGTGCCAGACGTGTCCCCCTGCTGAAGCCAGTGCATGTCCAGGCCCATCTCAAGTTTGCCAGAGAGCACATGGATGATACAGCAGAGGATTGGGAGAATGTCATGTGGTCAGATGAAACCAAAGTAGAACTGTTTGGTATCGTCGTGTTTGGAGAAAGAGTTGCATCCTAAGAACACCATACCTACTGTGAAGCATGGGGGTGGAAACGTCATGCTTTGGGGCTGTTTTTCTGCTAAGGGGACAGGACGACTGATCCGTGTTAAGGAAAGAATGAACGGGGCCAAAACCTCCTTCCATCAGTGAGAGATTTGAAGATGAAAAGTGGCTGGGTCTTCCAGCATGACAATGATCCCAAACACACCGCCCGGGCAACGAAGGAGTGGCTCTGTAAGAAGCATTTGAAAGTCCTGGAGTGGCCTAGCCAGTCTCCAGACCTCAACCCCATTGAAAATCTGTGGAGGGAGTTGAAAGTCCGTGTTCACTGCTCTCGAGAAGATCTGCATGGAGGAATGGGCCAAAATACCAGCTACTGTGTGTGCAAACCTGGTAAAGACCTATAGTAATCGTTTGACCTTTGTAATATAACCTTTGTTGGCAATATCAAAGTATTGAGTTTAATTTTTGTTATTGACCAAATATTTTCCACCATAATTTCCAAATAAATTCTTTAAAAATCCTACAATGTGAATTCCTGGATTTTTTATTCACATTGTCTCTCACAGTTGAAGTGAACCTATGATGAAAATTACAGACCTCTGTCATTATTTTAAGTGGGAGAACTTGCACAATCGGTGGCTGACTAAATACTTTTTTGCCCCACTGTATGTCTCTTGCCTGCGTTGTGTGGTCAGATGGGTAGACCAGTGGTTCCCAAAGTGGGGGAACAAATGTATAGCCCTTAAATATTTGTGTCGCCATTGATTTCATTCAATAGGACTGCATGTTGCGGGCACTGCGGCACGGTGGCTGAGTGGATAGCACTCTCGCCTCTCAGCAAGAAGGTCCTGGGTTCGAATCCCGGTCGGACCAGGGCCTTTCTGAGTGGAGTTTGCATGTTCTCTGCCTAGGTTTCCTCCGGCTACTCCGGTTTCCCCTACCACTAAAAATATGTACAATAGGTCTGGCATGCGCCTCCTGTAAACCGCTTTGACTCTGGTCTGTGAAAGGCGGTCTATAAATAAAGATTACTTACTTACTTACTTACTTGTTAAATTGTGTTTGGAGATGAGTCTGATGATAAATATAATGTATTTCAATTGAATTTGTAATGTTGTCTCAGACATTAGCAGATTACGACAGCGTCAATCAATCCATCTATGAGTGACGTTGTTGTTTATAGTTTTTCCGCTCCGGTCACGTGCCTGGGTGGCAAAAACGGCAGAGAAAGCTTCCTGGATGCTAGAGAGTTAGCTAGTTTTAGAAGTTTGGAGAGAGGTTTTACTAAATTAAATGGTCCATTCTTGTTGTGTGGTCGGTTCTAGGCCCACTGGGGACAGATTACGTTTTTTTTTCTAATTCCTTCAGAAAAGAAAAGCAAAAAACGGCTGCAGTAAAGTGGTTCGCGCATTAAAAGCGGGTTGCCACTTTACACTGTTACCTACGGTAAACGTAGAGACGGAAGCAGGGAGATGAGCAACCAAAATGCAATTTTAAATAATTCATTAAAAAAGAGTTTTACGATTTCTTTCACTCCACGCTTGTTCACTGTGATGATGAATCTGAAAAATTGCACATTGCACATTTTGACCCCAATTTGCACAGTAGTTGAGGGCATCATATTAAACAAGTGTGCAGTGAAATAAGTCGAAAAACTAGTTTATATTCTTTATAATACATTTTTCAAAATGGCATTTTAGTTGCTCATCCCCGCAGGCTCCTTTCCTACGTTTACCATAAGTAACAGCATAAACGGCTAGCCGCTTTTAATGTGCGGGCCACTTTCTCTCGCTGGCGAAAAGCCGGGCCACTTTACTGTGGTGAAATGAATTCTTTATGAATGAAGAATAAATGTCTCGTAGATCGATGCCAAGACAGAGGCTAGTCTGACCAATGTCTGTGGTCATCCCAGGTCTCATCTGGGCTTTGGATTTGTTCAGTTCTGAACAAATCCATATACTTATTTTTAGTTTCTCATTATATCTCCTCTGATCTTCTTGTGTTAAAGTGCTTATATACAGTGCTATTCGCCCACTGAGTCTTTTAAAAGTACTCGTCGTATCCATGCTTCAGTATGTGCCGCTCTGTC